TTGCTTCTAACCCCCCGAGGCCGACAGTATGTCTGCTTGTCTTTAATGAGCCCACTTGACACGCTTTATTGTCCTTGGGTCTGGCTCCCAGCCCCTCTCCAACAGTTGAGGCTGTCTGGAGGTGCTGCCTTCCATGCCTTGCTCATCCACACCTCATTCATTCAACAGGGCAATTGATTAAGAGTGGGGGGGGGGGAGAGCTCTTGTTCTACTGCTAGCAAAAAGAAATTTTTCTTCTATCTTATTCTATCCTTAGGGGCTATAATATTCTACCAAGGGCAATGCAAAGTTTCTAAATGAGGCTTTGATACAAAGTTCCATGAAAGCAGAGGTCACACGTGGGTAGACCCACCACAAGGTTATATGAAGAGACACAATGTAAAGTCATATGAACATTATCAGAGATTGATCTACATCCCCTGTGGGTCCTGCCCAGCTCTTGCTGGAGTGAACAGACAGCAAGTGTGAAAAATCGGGGGGTGGGGGCAGGAGTCGGGGGTAATAGGAGCCTATATAAGAAAAAGACCCCAAAATCGGGACTGTCCCTATCTGGTCACCCTAAGCTTTCCTGCCTTTTTACAGATCGATTCCCATCCGCACCCCCGACTTCCTTCCTGCCCCAGCATGAAACTGACAAAGAGAGCCCATGAAAGTGATTCAGCATCTTCAGGCCTCCTGCATGTCACAGCCCCTGAGACTCAAACCCAGACCCCCGGGGGCCTGTAAGCGTCAGATCCACCGGGTGACCCCCCAAGCCAAGCCTGTACCCACATGCCGCATCCGGCTCAGCTCCCTTGGAAGCCCCCCCCTTCCTTGCAGGTTTTGCGGCTCTGACTCAGGGCCTGCCCCGTATCCTAGCTGCTGCTTCCTCAGGTTTCAGCGTGACTCGGATTCCTGCAGCTTCCCCACCCGGCTTCCAGTAAGAGGATGCAGCGGCGATGCCAGGGTGCAGCATAGCTCGCTGGGTCCCCATATCCCGCAGGCCGGCGACATCCTTTGCTGACTGGCTCAGAGGTGTTTCGTTTCGGAGACAAAGAGCTATGAGTTCTCCTAATGCCTTCCATTAGCACTCCCACAAGGCAGCATGGTCTAGTGGATAGAGCACTGGCCTGGGGCTCAGGACATCTTGATTCAATTCCTTACTTCATCACAGACGCCCTAAGCAAGTCACTTCCCCGCTCCGTGCCTCAGTTTCCCCTGCCGCCCTTGGCCTGGTTAGATTATACACTCGGCAAGGCAGGGACCGTGTCTGTCCAGGACCCAGCCCGGCAGGCTCCTGCATTCTAGCTGGGGCCCGGTAGGTGTTACTGCAATTATAAATTGCCTAAGCTAACAATGGACTTTCCGCCTGCCCCCCACCCTCGCGGGACTGTTCTGCAGATAGTCTTAACGATCATCTCTTGGGCGCCCTCCACGCTTCCTTGGCCCTCTGGGGGATTGTCCTGTGCCTGGTATAGGGAAGTACATTGTCCCCCTTCCCACGGTATCTGAGCTTAATCCACATGCCCCTGAGAGGCAGGGCAGGACTATTATCCCTATTGTACGGATGGGGAAATTGAGGCATGGAACGGCTACGTGACTTGCTCAGGGAATCTGTGCTGAAGCAGGGAACTGAATCCAGGTCTCCTGACCCACCGGACCATCTCTCCTCCCTAATGTGCCCCTTTAACTGTCATCTGGCCAAGTTACACGCATTCCTCTCCTCTGAGCCCTGCCCATAAACTAACCCCTCCAGCCCCTGATCATCCTTATTGCTCGTCTCTGAACTCCCCCAAAGAACTGTAGCTCACACATGTATACAAAGAGACACACATGCTGACACAGACACATGAATGCACACACAGACACGCATACAACAGAGAGACACATGCCAGCACAGACTCATGAATGCACACACAGACACGTGTACATAGAAACAGGTGTGCACACATACACGTGAATGCACATGGACACATGAAAGTACACACAGACACATGCACATAGAGACATGCATGCACACGGACACATGGATGCACACAGGCACATGCACACAGAGACGCACACAGGCACATGCACACAGAGACACTCACGGGCACGTGAATGCACACATGGACACACATGCACACAGGGCCACACACGTGCACACACAGGTACACATGCATGCACAAACATGCAGACACACGCATACCCACAAACGTACACACATGCCCGCACGTGTACATGCATGCCCACTCATGCATACACGAGGCCCCACATTTTTCCAAGGCCCTCTGGACAGGTGCTAACAAGGAAGCAACATTATCAGCGCCACTGAGAAGGACCAGAGCTGGTTCAAGTGAAACCCCGAAAGCAGAGGCTGCTCTTGGAGCTGTGGCTGTATCTGGGCCAGGACACAGTGTCACGGAGTCCCCGGGCGATGCTCTAGAACTACTCCCCACAAAGCCAGTCAGGACTTTGGGGAGCCTCCTCTCCCTTGGAGCAGACTGTCTTCAGGGCAAGAAGCTCACACGGCTTCACCTCCTGGGTCTCTCCTGGGAGCATTCAGCATATGCCCCTCCGTGCGCTTCCCACAGCGAGTCCGCCCAGGCGGGGTCCTGGGGAAGCCAGAGGGTCCTGCACCCCCACTTCGCAGTCAGACGTGACTCTCAGCCAGCCAGTAAAACAGAGGTTTATTAGATGACAGGAACATGGTCTAAAACAGAGCTTGTAGGTACAGCGGCGAATGGGGCCTCTCGGCCGGGTCCATTCTGGGGTTAGGAGAGCCAGACACCCACGTCTGCCCTCACGCCTAGTCCCCAGGTAGCTCCAAACTCCAACCCCCGTCCAGCCCCTCCTTCTCTGGGCTTTGTCTCTTTCCCGGGCCAGGAGGTCACCTGATCCTTTTGTCTCCAACACCTTCAGTTGGCACCTTTGCAGAGAAGGGGCCCAGGCCATCAGTTGCCAGGAGACAGAGTGTCGGGCATTTATGTACCCTGGCCCTTTGCTCTGCAGCAACCAGACACCCTTATCCCACCACCTAGATACTTAAGAACTGCATAGGGGAAACTGAGGAAAACATTAAGAACAGTCCCACTTCGTCACACAGGGTTCTGAGAGCGGCCTCAGGCTTCAGCCCTGGAATTTGGCTTCCTCCACCCTTTGTCTCCCTTAAAACAGCAGCTGAACAGGGGGGGGGGGTCCGAATGCAAAGGGGCCAGGTCCTCGGAACAGCTCCAGTGCTGGCCCAGAGGGGGATTCTCGGAGCTCATCCAGCGTTTAAGGCCGGAAGGGACCATTCGATCATCTGAGCTCCTGGACAGCCCAGTCTGGAGAAGTCTCCCGGTG